ATCGTGTTAGCGCTCTATTTGTAAAGACTAGGTCATCTGACCACCGCTGTTTATCCTCTACCCATTTCCAATCTACTGTCGATCGCTCATGTCTTTTCATAAGTTGTGGAGAAAAGCACAAGACAATCCGACTGAATTTTCAGTTTGGATCAGTCTCTTAGATCTCGTTGAAAAACAGGTAATACATATATATATCGCCGAATATCTTTCAGCAAAATATTGAGTATGCTAGACAGGCCTTTGATGCATTTTTCAAACGTTTCCCATATTGCTATGGTTATTGGAAAAAGTTTGCTGATATGGAACGCCATAAAGGAAATAAGGAAAGGTGTTTACAAGTAAGAAACTTTTGATCGCTTTTGTAATTTGACTAAATACGTTTTTTACTGCGTCCATATTGCAGTTGGTAACCGAAATGTTACGACTAAATACTTTTCAAATGCTGTCGATTAAACTTGATTTACGGCAGCTGTACAAGCTGTAATGACTTTCGTATAGTTTCGTACTTTAAGATTATTGTAGTTACAGAATCGCAAGCTAACAGCAGAAGTTACATTTTTGGATAGTGGATCTTACCAGGAAGCAGTCTTTCGATACATATGTCCCAGTTTCTAACACCACACCGCCTACCTCGGTTGGGGTGACAGAATTAACTTAAGTACATGGTGAATGAGTTGATTATGGTTGCTAAATTCTATTTTATTTCAGTAAAACCAAAAATAATGAGTTTTATCTATTTGCATATATTTCTCGCTGCTAAATAATGCTGGCAATTAGTAAAGTGAAGACTCACCGGAATTGTCAGAATGTAAATTATCAATAACAGATCTCAAATTATCAGTCAGTCAGCTACAACGTAGGACCAGGCACATATATGCATCGGTCCAAATTGCCATACCTCGTTAGCACAACAAGATCAACACCGGATTCATAGAAGTAGTTAATTTAGTGGTGGTAGTATATAAAGAAAGGTTGTATATAAGGATATAGTATAGGAAAGAAAAAAGTTATGAAGCAATTTTAGTCTCAAGGTTTAAGGGAAGATAAAGAGTGTATACACCGACGCCATTGTGATCGATTCTGAGCCATGTCACCTAGAGTCTCCAACCATTGGTTACGATAGTCACGCGGACCCCAACCAGGTAGTCTGCATCTGCCAACATGGCTCAGGCTAGAAGTTAGTGACTTCAAGCACTGATGTCATGCTTTTGTTTGGCCGCCCCTAACTCTCTTCCAACCATCGTCAATACTAGCCATCATAGCGCGTCGTGGTAATCGGTGTTCAGGCATACGTAACACGTGGCCCAACCATCTCAGTCGATGAAGATTCATCACCTCATCAACTGATTTACCATCATTCCTTAATACCCTGCGTCTAACCTCACTATTACTTACTGAGTGACCCCAGCAGATGCGAGCAATATTTCTAAGGCATCTGTGGTCAAATATTAGTAACCTATGAGTATCTTCTACTCTTAATGGCCATGTTTCGCAACCGTAAAGTAGAACAGAACGAACTGCTGCGCAGTATACTCATCCTTTAATTGATAGACGGATATCTCGTCTTCGCCATAGGTGACGTAAGTTGGCAAAAGCCAAATGAGCTTTTTGAATCCGTGCTGAGATTTTGTCAGACACCAACCCATTAGGACTGATCAGACTTCCAAGATAAGTGAAGTTGTCGACGCGTTCGACTACTTCACTCCCTATCCTTAGTTTGGGTGTTGACGCAGGCCAGTTCTGGAGTAGTAATTTACACTTGGATGAGGAGAAACGCATGCTAAACATCCTGGCATTATTACTCAGTTTTAACAGAAGAATGAATTTCGTCAGCTTCTTTAACAAACAGGACTATGTCATCTGCGTATTCTAAGTCGATAAGTGGAGCCCCTGGTAGGAGATCAGTTCCTGAAAATTCAGTCGACGAGAGTGTTATTTCCAGCAACAGGTCTATAATGATGTTAAATAAAAATGGGGATAGTGGACAGCCTTGACGGACACCACTTGAGGTTGTAAAATCATATGACAGTTCGCCATAAAAGACGTTTCAAACAGTGATCCATCTAAATAATTGTTCTTTAAAGTCATAGGCTTCTATTTAACCACTCAGATTAAAGTAGGTGAAATGGAGTTGTGTCCTTCAAATCACTTTTTGGAAATCACTTACTTAGAGTATCAACCCACTCAACTTGGAACATATTCATTAATAATTTAACGAATATTTTTCGCGAGATTTGTTCTTGTGAAAATTTATTTGTGGTAAACTTTTCAAAGCGCAAGACAACAACATCTTAAGCTTCGACTCTCCTAAATACATTTTAGTAATGTGTAATTTGTAATTATTACTGAAGACAATAGCTTGTTATAATCTTTACATAGTTTTCGAAAAGTAGTTAAACCTCTGAGAGCACATTTTCCTTGTTTCATTAATGCTATTTTGAATGGATCGGTTTGTATTGTTTTTGGTCAGGTTTACGAAATGGGAGTTAAGACCATACCTTTGAGTGTTGACCTCTGGACGGCTTATCTGGATGCTGCCACTGAATACTACCATACGCATGATGACTATGAAACTCAAATGCGCAGGTTAGTGGTTTATTCTTTTTTGTTGTTGCACGCACATTTGTTATAATGCCCTTCGTTGTGGCCCTTTTTTAATCAATATGATTCTTATGTATTTCAGTCTCTATGAATCTGCTTTGGATTCTGCTGGTCTTGAATTTCGTTCTGATGCATTGTGGGAGCACTATATCAGCTGGGAAAGTGGGCACAATCGACTAGTTAATGCTGCGAATATATATGCTCGTTTATTATCAATTCCAACTCAACTTTACTTTCAAAATTGGGACAGGTTAGTTTAGTTTATCACAATGGTTGCTGCCTGAATTTCATATCATTACATCCATGTTACTGTTCTAGTTATTTTGTTGATACTAGATCACATTCTGTCTTAAAAGTGCTTGGTGGCTTAGATTAAAACAGACAAAATTTCTGGACTGGGAAACTATGCGCGACCGTTTATGATTTCGGCTTGCTGCATTCCTCAAAGCAAGAGAAAATTCACTTATAAGATTTTTAATATTCGATAACAGAAAGTGTCTAACAAAGGAAAAATAGATCCAAACAATAAAGTGCTCAACATTTAGTGGATTTGTTTGCATCATTACGACGTAATCTTAGTTGTATTACACTGTGTCTGACTCTGATTTTAACAATAGATTGGATTATGCTTTGAACGTTTGTATTTAATTACTCTACCACTAGAACATAACCAGTTTTATGGTTTTCAGTTAATAAAACTAAAAACCTTCTGTCGACCAAGTTTTCTGTGTAGTCACTGGTTAAAGTGATTCAAATCGCGATACACGGGTTGTGGCGTTAGTGAACACTTATTCCTCACTGATGATGAGTGCGATGGTACATACATTTTAAGTTTCGTGCTAACTGACTGGAACCATTCAGTATCTGATGTGTGGGCGAGAATGATAATGATTGGTTATCTTGATGAGTCAGACATTAGATAGGATGACAGGTGTTATATGTGTTATATATATTCCCCTATCCTTATTACGTATTGACTGTTCCTTGTTGATGGACACTTATTGATTGACTGTTCTTTGTGTTGGATTTTGGTGTGGAAATATATTGACGTTATAGTCAGGCTAATCTTGTGTTCTTGATCTGAGTTGTGTTGAAGTCCTGTAGAATAGACACTGGGTGGGAATCTAGTGTAGATATTCGTCTAAAATAAATTAACGTCCTACATACGTGTAGAAAGTAAAAGGACTGTTATAACAAGAAACTGCTAGCGTTGTAACAAGCGTTCTCTATGTTTATAACAGTATCAAAATCACATTTCTCAATTTAGTGATTCATACCAATTTTTTATCTGATCTGTCTCCATTTTCACTATCAAAATCAGAAGGTTGTGGGAACTTGCTATTAATTGTGTTGTTCTTTGTCCGATTCTGGTACCTAAGCTTCCTATACGCGATTTGGACCAGCTACATACGTGAGGAGGAAGTTTTTATTTGGTAACTGAGTCAGAAATGCATGTAAAGTCATATATATATAACTATTTCTTAACCAGTCTTGTTCACTTGTCATTTGACTGATTTCTGATTGGCTCAAAGCATCACCTTCCCCTCCTGAAAGTAAGTTTGACTTCTCGAGCTCAGGTGTAGAAGTTAAGGTTGAAAAATATTAGTTTGTGTCATGCGTGTCTAAACCACCTATCGATTCAGGCCTACAAGTTTCTTAACTGATTTACCTCGTTTAAATAACACTACATCTATTCCCAATATTACTCGCTTGTCAGTCAGACATTTTTAGGAAGAAATATTTGAAGGAATTAACATTCCAAGCCCTAAGCTATTTACACTTTCTTCACCTTTAATAGTGATATCTTACAGAGAAAATGTTAGACAGAGCTTGCCGTTATGTGACTAAGTGTTTGAGTATCTTTATGAAACCACAAGTACCGTAATTTTATATATGGCAAACGGTCATTTTAATTCAACCGTTAAATCCGTCAACTTTATTCTCAGCTGGTCAAAGTACTTTTGTTCCTTGAGCTCGGTATAGATCACTGTTTAACACCAACTACTAGGTTAAGGAATTCAAACATTGATTTCAAGTTTAGATTTTTCATCGTCTATACTTGGCAGGTTTATTTTGTTTGTGTTCCATGGTGGTCAGAAAATACTGGTTCATAAGATATAGAGAGCAGAAATTACCCACGTGATATCTTTAATTCTGGTACGTATTTTGTCCTGACATTTTAAAAGGTACTTTTTTTAGTTACGTTGGCAATTATTTTTATTGTTTTGTTTTCAATATCAGTTTCAATAAATTAGTAGAGGAAAATCGTCCTGAAGATATACTGTCTAAAAATGAGTTTACAAGTATGGTGACACAAATTTCAGCGGCTGCTGGTAAGCCTATCTCACTTGAAGAATCGGCAGGAGACATTAGTGATGAGTTGGAACCACCAATTTTAGGATCTACAAAGCCAGCGATCGAAGTATGAAATTTATTGACAATTCTTTAATTAAAAGACTAATTGTATTTTTTTCTCGAATTTATTTTCATACCAAGTTGTATGAAATACGAGAGTTTGTTTGGGTTGTTTCATTCTGTTACAGCCGATAGTGGTAAATTAATTGTGAAGTCATTTTTTTTTGGATGAATAATGGTTCGTTTTTAGAATTATTCAATGTATATTCCCGGAGATTGTCTTAGTAATGGGTTTCGGAAGTTCGTTTCTTTCATGATTTACCTTTTTGTTCGAGATATGATATATCGTTACTAAAATGTTATGCTTTCATGTAAGTTTGATGAATAGTAACTCTTACTTGTGGGCTGTTAATTCAATATTTGCTTTTGGGACATTCTGCATAAATCCGGGATTTCATAAAGCCATTTGAAATGTAGTCATAGCCAGCCCGTTATTTCAGCTTTCGGGTAATTTATTTTCATATTTTAATCAGAAGTTAGTTTCGACCGTTTAGATTACTATCATTTGGAAATTTAACTCATTATTTAGTACATCTAAGTAGCTCTCTCTGTTCGTGGACTTGAATTTGACTGAGTTGTTAAATGTTGGATTAATTGTGAAGCGTTTAGTGATATCAGCAAATCGTAAGTTATAGAGGAATCACTGATCGGACGGTGATGCTTTCTTGGTGTTGTTTTCAATGTACATTATATTTTGTTGGCTAATTTCTCAAGAGTAGGTTGCTAGTTGACTCATTACTGCAGTAGTTGCAAATAGCTGCCCTTTGAGACTAATTATAAAGCTATATTTGCATGGAGTTTTGTTCTCTGAGCTGGATGCTTTGGCTGTTGAGCTTTCATCGTTCTTCTGAACGACATCATCAGCACAAACTTTGCTTAGTAGTGAAGTGTTCGAATTTCTCCACATGTGGTTCACAGCTTGTCCTGTACACCTCGATGTTGATTGGTTCTTGTTGACCTTAAATCTGTCATTGTTTTCTTCTTTGTTTTAGTTGTATCTCCCATTGGTTTGATTTTTGTTCCTATGTTTCTGCATAATTTTCCTGATTTGTTGATAAATTGGAGGTTTTATTAATTAATTATTTTGAAGCATAGATCGCCAACCAAGAATCTCTAATCAACTCACTCATAGGTTCTTCCCAGTTGTCATCAAGCGTATTCTTGATCTTGATATCAGCCCCCAATTCCTCGCCTTGAGGATTCGAGTTTAGGGCTTGTCTTGCGCTGTAGTTTGATGGTTTCCGCAATGTATGATGTCTATTCTCAGCATATTTTCTTAATTTTCTCAGCTATCAGTCTGTTTATTCTCCGTCAAAGTAGGCTATAACTGACCTCTGACCAATGAATCTGCAGTATCATGTATAGTTAGCTGTTTCTGCAACAGGGTTCTTTTTTACCGACCCTACACCCAACACTCCTCGTTTACCCCGGGTGGGGACTGGCGTTAACCCTAGACGGGATTCATGTAGAGTTACTAGCAAGCTAGTTCGTGTTTATTTCATTCCGAACTGCAATCAGTTACTATTGATATACTTCGGTTGGTGTAGCTCAATAGTTCGAGCTCTCTCCACTTAGCTACTCTATTTTAATTCGTATAGCACGTATAGTATATCTAGTTCTCATATAATAATTTTGATTCAACTCTGAGTACATAAGCATATACCTAGCTACTAGGCTATATTTATTGCTAATTAATTAACCCGGGTTAATACTGTCATTTGTAGGATCAAACAGTGTATGCTGGTCATATACTGCACAGTTACTATCTGTATTTTCATCACCGTCTTCCGTATATAGTAGTATGATGCAAATACTAGCTATTTTACTAAGGGGATGTTAATAATGAGTAGCCAATACTCTTTGCTTGTTGGGTAGATTGTTATCTATATTTTTTTTAAACTCAAAGGATTCGAAATTGTATTCATTTAGTACGAAAAACCACGAATTCGATTGAAATGTAACAAAATGAATGGACCCCTGAAGTGAATGGATAATTCCTCTTGTATTTTACTACTTCTGTAGGCTTGTGCTTATATAGTACACAACATTCTTATATTAGTTCGCTGCTTATATCTGTATAGAAGTAGTGTATTTTTGTATTCATTACTATCAACCCCCAAGAAACACAGTTTATCTACGAATTTCGTATACCATTTAGGTTTGAATTTTTTCATTAGATTACACTCAATCGTAATGGGTACAAAATAATCCCTCTGTCAAACTACTAAACTTAGGTTTCAGTATAGAAATTGGAAGTCTTAATATTTTTACTGAGTAGTATACCATTTTTCTTGAAATATAAATTTACATATTCACCAAATCTTTATTTTCCTAGATAACAGATGCTGTCAGGGCGTCTGTACGACAGATGATAATTGATTCACGTGAACAAATTTATCGGGCAACTTATATGCAGATTATGCGGCGGTGGTACTTTGAAGAAAAGGTATGTCATATATTCGTTGTTTCTGACTTATTATCACTTCAAGTGTTCTGTTTGTTGTTTTTAATGACATGCGTACAAGGTCGATAAACTGTAGCAGGTCCTAGTCTATAGAATACTTTAGTATCTCTAGTTTGATTAACTTCTTTTAGCGTTTAAGTGCTAAACAGTGAGTTGTCATCAATTATAATTCATGATACGAGACACCTAGGCTTTTCGTGGTATTTAGGGAAGTTAATACTTACTTCATTTCGCAGATTTGGGTTCCTAAAATAAAGTTAGGAGAAGATTGAAACTTTCAGATTCAGTAGAACCTCCTCATTAACACTAGATAGCACATATAATTTTTCCTCTAAGAGGTTTATGCTACATTTACGTAGGTTAAGTCACGATAACACTTTTGATTACCGGAAAGTGTCAACTTATTCTATGTAAAACACTGTAGTTTTATCATGTCGCATTTTTTCTTTTCTGAGTTTACTAGCGTGTATCGAGTTTGGTCTTTTCTTGGTGTTGAATCACTATTACTGGTTTTTGTATTTGATTGTGTTGGGTTAATTTTATGTCTTTGCATCTATTTATGTATTATTTAGATCCGACGTCCATATTTCCACGTGAAACCCCTTGAAGAAGTGCAACTAAATAATTGGGCTGAATATTTAAGTTTTGAAGAAGCAGAAGCTGGAACTGTAATTTCACATATAAGAGAACAAATAAAAGTGACTAGTCAGTTATCTGACGATAAATTAGAAGAAGCTGTTCTTGAATATCCTGAAGTTAAACTTGCTAAACGTCGTGTTCGCGTCCTTTATGAGCGTTGTCTTGTTGCTTGTGCTCTATATGAACACTTTTGGATACGTTATGCAAAATATTTAGAGGTATTATTTTATTTTAAAACTTTTGAAATTTACATATCTTTTATTGCTTTAAAATAATGTCCAGTTACATTTACGGTTTATTTTTTTGTATTGTATGTTGCAGTCATTTGTTCTATGTGTTGGATATATAGTCTTATTTTGTTTACGTTATTGATGATACTCTCTTTTTGAAGCATTCAGTCCTGTTATGGTTGTCCAGTTTGATCTTTCTTGATTTTTATCACATTTTGATTTCAAATTGATGCATAGAGTTAACAGAAAAAGAACTTGTTTGACTGTGCCTGAAGGCAATATGGGTTTGAATCCCATAATATTTCAAGTTTATGAATGCACAGATACACATCCGTATCCAGAGGTTTTATTGAAATATAACATCAAACTAAATCATAGTCTAGGTTGTTGTCATCTAAGCAATTTACGTACATTGAGATTTTTTCGTGAATTGTAAAGTGGTAAATTATGGAAAATTCTGTGGCGGGGGGGTTATATTGTATACAATATGCATAACTTATAACATAGCGTTTGAAGTTGTGGATGATAATTGAGTGCATTTTTTATTTTAGTATACTGAAGGAGATATACCTGCTGCACGTGAAGTATGGCGACGTGCTTGTATGACTCACTTACCGTACAAGCCAACAATTCATTGGCATTGGGGTTGTTTCGAGGATAGATATCCTGCATGTTTAGATAATCCTCAAAAATTCGAAGTCCTTACTTGTCTTGATATTTTGACAGACTTGGAGAAACGCTTAACCGACAGTGCTCTTGTATGTTGTAGACGAGCGGATGCTTTAAGAAGAGCAGGGAAACCAGTAAGTTTTAGAATTGACCATGTTCAGTTTTTCAGTCTTATCTATGAGGTATAGAAATTCATTTTCTTTGTTTTTATGTAGTTTGTATTTATATTGATGCATTGTAGCGTTTTAGTCATGTTTGTTGAGTTGTACTTACATCCACACTTTTATTCCAGAAAATCTTTTTATAATGATGCGATAGCTAACAACAATCGCAAATACATTTCCGACACCCAGTATTGTAGTTCATTTGATATATTATCTGTACTCCTTTTTTCCAAAACACACTTGATGTATTTAAATATGTAACTGACAGTTAGTTTTTCTCTAGTAACAAGTCAGTTAGTTATAAAGAAAATTGAAGTCAACACACCAAAATGAAATTATCGAGAAAAAAATGTTAAAATAATAGGAATAGTAACAATATCATTTGTAGTGGAAAATAATTATTATAGACATGATTCGAGAAAAAAATTATAAAGTCGTGAGACAGAAAAGTGTAGGATAATATAAGATATATGTGATCAAAGAGAAGAGAAATATTGAATACATTTACACTATTTAGACTGATTCTGAGTCGTCTGTCAACAGTCAGTCAGTCACAACGTAGAACTTCGTACGTACGTACATCAGTTCGAGTTGCCATACCACATTAGCACAGAGATGAAGTTGTCGATTCAAATCCCATAATGGTAGAAGAAGTAAGAGTATAAGCAGTAATCGGAAAGATTAGGGTTTGAAGATGTTATTGAAGGCGTATAATACAGTGAAATAAATTTGGAAAGAGAAAAAGGATAGGGACATGAGAAATTCAAAAGATTAAAATTTGGTAGAACACAAAGAGTGGATGCACCTGTGCCATTGCAAATGATTTTGAGCCATGTCATTCAAGGTCTCTAACCATCGGTTGCTATCATCTCGCGGATCCCAACCAGGTAGTCTACACCTACCAACATGGCTCAGTCCACTTGTCGGTGACTTCATGGATTTATGCCACGTTTTGGTCTGGCTGCACCTAGCTTTCTTCCAACCTATTTCTACACCATAAAGCATTGCACGTCGGGGCAGTCGGTGGTTGGGCATACGTAACACGTGTCCCAGCCATCTCAACTGGTGAAGTTTCACTACTTCATATATCGATTTGCCATCCTTACCTAGTACCCGTTTCCTAACAACTGCATTACTTACCCGGTGGTCTCAGGATATACGAGCAATGCGTCGAAGACACCTATGATCGAATACTAGTAGCCTACGAATATCCTCTACTTTTACTGGCCATGTTTCACTGTCATAAAGTAGGACGAAACGAACTGCTGCACAGTAAACCCGTCCTTTGGTTGCTAGACGGATATCTCGCCTACGCTATAAATGACGCAAGTTGGCGAAAGCTGGACGAGCCTTCTGTATCCGTGCTGAGATTTCGTTACACACCAAACCACAAAGGCTGATGAGACTTCCAAGATAAGTGAAGCAGTCAACACGCTCAACTACTTCACTCCCTATCATTAGTTCAGTTGCCGATGCAACCTAATCCTGGAGTGACATTTTGCACTTTGAGGGGGAGAATCGCATCCCGAACATGCCTCCATAGTTGCCTATAGTGGTCAGAAGACTCTGCATTTTGTCAGCGTCTTCACTAAATAAAACTATGTCATCGGCGTATTCTAAGTCAATAAGTGAGCCTCCCGGTAAAAGTTCAACTCCTGGAGATTAAGATGATGAAAGTGTTATCTCTAAAAGCATGTCAACGACAAAGTTAAACAAGAATGGGGAGAGTGGACAGCCCTGACGAACACCACTTGAGGTAATCAATTCTGATGACACTTCGCCATAGGCTCTAACTCGACCAGTTGTGTTTGAGTAGAGAGCCTTTATGAGGTTAATGTACTTCTTTGGTACTCCTTTCAGTGACAAACACTGCCATAGAACCTCACGATCAACGAAGTCAAATACCGCCTTAAGGTCAAGGAATACTACTATTGTGGGACGTCTGAATGTGTGTCTATGTTCTAGGACCTGACGTAGAGTGAATATCTGGTCTATGCAACCACGTCCAGGCCGAAAACCAGCCTGGTTTTCTCTAGTCTGCTCTTCACGAGCTTTGGTTAGGCGCCTAAGTATTCTTGAAGCTAATATTTGAGACATTATATTAGTCAAACTGATTTCTCTGTGATTGTCTTAAGAGGACTTTTGTCCTTTCTTATTGGCTGGCACAATCAGTGATTGGGACCAGTCAGATGGAATTACGTCCAGCCAGTATAGATCGATTTGTTCATCACGATAGGCAAGCCCGACCACCACGTCAAGGTAGCAGCAACGGTTGGGAGTCTGTCAACACCTTCAGACATTTGTTATAATAATTGTAAGATCCTAGCCACGTAGTTTACGTGTGCTAACATGACTATTAGCAAGCAATCATAAGGTTACATTTGAATAATCTGTCTATAATGTAGGTAAACAGTGGTAATAGATATAGAATTTTATCCAATTATAAAAATTATCGGACCCAGATATTAATACGATCAGAGTCCATTGTCGGCCTGGTACGGCCCTGGTACGGCCGAGAGTGGGGAGAGTCTACTCTCCCTCTCGAAATGCTCTCACATGGCCAGCGAATATATAGCCTCTGCCAGGGAAGTCCTACTCACTGCCTTCTCGTGGCGGGGGTGTTGTTTACGAAAGTGAGAGGACGAAAAGCGAATGTCCGGCGCTATAACCGGATTGGTGGACACGGAGGGTCCACCTAGGGGATTTGGAAAACCCTGATTCCAAACCAATGGTGCACATGGGCTCCAGTTTCCTGATGGAACGAATGGCGGAAGAACCTGTCATTGGTCAACGACTACCATGGGACTGCATCTCCTCACGATGCTCCACTGCCTTGTGGATCAGACCTTTAGGTCAAAGGCTCCGGGTGTGGCCCCCTAAGAAAACCACCTGCTTCGGTTTGGGCACCCGGGCAGTATCACAGCCCACACACAAATGAATGAAATGACGAACGCTATTGACGATTCTATTCATGCTCATATTATAAGCAAGACAATTAACATTATTATTATTACCTTTATTATTATTATTATTATTATTATTATTATTATTATTATTATTATTATTATTATTACTTACCATATCGCTAATTCACCCCCTTTTACCCCCAATTTGTGTAACCTTACTCTTCAACTTATGCAGCAGCTCGCTCTTGGTGGAAAATCTGTCCTATCTAAACGATCTCCAGTCACTGTCTGGTTGAAAGTGAATGCTTCCACCGATAATGAATACTGAGGCAGTCTTTCTGAAACCACGTACGCCGTTCAAGCTGGCTTCCTTCAACGTTCGCACACTAATGCAGATCAGACAACAGATAGGGCTGGCTATGTCTTTGGAAGGTCTTAATGTTGATGTTTGTTGTCTATCCGAGACCCGTATTCAAGACTCTAGTGAAGTACTACAAATCCGCTCTCCATCTGTCTCCTCGAAAAGCTTGTTCCACGTGCGCTTATCCGGGGACCCTGTGGCATCTTCGTCTGGCCTTTTTGGCGTTGGTGTCGCACTAAGCGCTAGGGCTGAGGCAGCACTAATCGATTGGTTCCCCATTAACAGTCGGTTATGTGCTGTTAGATTAGAAAGTTCCATCAAAGTGAGAAGAAATCGGCGCAAGAAACGGTGTCTTTTCGTCATCTCCGCCTATGCCCCGACAGATTGCAGCCCGGATGCAATCAAGGATGAGTTTTACCATCAGTTAACAGTTCTTCTCCAGAAAGCGCGTTCGACAGATATTGTAGTACTAGCCGGAGACTTGAATGCACAGGTCGGGCGTCTAGGCACAGAAGAGAGTCGTCTAGGTGGCCGATGGGGACTTGTTGGTCGCAGGACAGATAACGGGGACCGTTTGCTGCAACTGTGCACAGACCACAACCTGTTTCTGGCCAGCACTAACTTCCGGCACAGTCATCGCCGGTGTGCCACCTGGCGTCATCCCTCTGCATCCCAAGCCTGGACTCAGATTGATCACATCGCGATCAGCTACCGCTGGCGTGGTTGTGTACAAGACTGCCGCTCCTTTTGGAGTACCTATCTGGAGTCTGATCATGCCCTGGTCTGCGCCAATCTCACCTTACTTTTCAGTGGCCGAAGGATTGACCACCACCAACGGATTGATATTAGTAAACTGGCTGCAACTCCTGTTGCAAGTAAGTACCGAGCGGAGCTAGCCTCTAGGCTAGCTAACACCCCACCGAAAAGTATAGATGAGCATTGGTTGCATCTTCACGACGCCATGAAAATGGCGAGTAAAGCCGCTTGCGGCTTCGCGAAACGTCCCACTTACAAGCACTGGGTTTCTTCTGGCTCCTTACAACTGATGGAAGCCCGTCGGTCTACTCCGGGTGACCGTGAGTTTGACCACAAACGAAGGCTGTTACGTAATGAAATTGGGCAAAGCTTGCGTAAGGACCGGGAAGCCTGGTGGTCGGAGCGTGCTAATGAGATGGAAGCAGCAGCTGCATCTGGTAACTGCCGGAAGCTCTTCCAACTCATCCGAGCCACTGGCAGCAAGAAGTCTGGTGTGAGTGAAACAATCTACGAGGATGATGGGATGCCAATCACTAACATCTCCCGACGTCTTGGACGATGGGCGGAATTTTTCGAAGGGCAGTTCAACTGGCCTGCTGCTCCGGCAACATCAACCAGCTTGTCCTGCCCCCCATGGCCGGTGACGACTGATCCACCAAACGAGACGGAAGTCCGCAAGGAACTCCAACTCTTGAAGCGCTACAAATCACCTGGCCCAGATGACTTACCTCCGGCTCTTTTTAAAGATGGTGGCGACTTTCTGACTAAGGAATTGACTGTGTTGTTTGGAAAGGTTTGGGAGCAAGAAAGTGTTCCAACATCATGGAATGAGTCAATAGTCGTCCCTATCTTTAAAAAGGGTTCGCGTTGTTCCTGCAATAACTATCGGGGGATAAGTCTACTTCCGATTGCGTCCAAACTATTGGCTTCTATCATTCTTCGTAGGTTGTTTAAAACCCGAAAACGATTGACTCGAGAGGAGCAGGCTGGTTTTCGTTCTGGTCGAGGATGCATTGATCACATCTTCACCCTCCGCCAAATGTTAGAACACCGTCATACTTATCGCAGGCCAACAATCGTAGTGTTTCTTGATATCAGGGCTGCCTTCGATTCGTTGGACAGGACTGTTCTCTGGGATTGTCTATTGAAGAAGGGTGTGCCTGAGAAGTTTATTAACATCTTAAAGGCCCTGTACACGAACACCTCAGGCAGAGTGAGGGCAGGCATACAACCACGTTTCTCCCTTGTTCCATTCGAGCAGTGGGGTTAGGTAGGGTTGCCCGATCTCACCATTCCTCTTCAACTTTGCCATCGACGACATCTTGGAAACAGCTCTGATGGATGTAAGTAATGGCGGTGTGGATATGTTGCCTGGAGAACGACTTCTCGACCTTGAGTATGCGGATGATATTGTCTTACTGTGCGATAATGCCCAAGGCATGCAATCAGCACTTAATCAGTTGGCAATCAGTGTCCGCAGGTTCGGCATGTGCTTTGCACCCTCCAAGTGCAAAGTACTTCTACAAGACTGGCAGGATTCTCATCCTGTACTCACCCTGGATGGTGAGGAGATAGAAGTAGTTGAGAAGTTCGTGTATCTAGGTAGCTACATAAGTGCTGGTGGTGGCGTGAGTGATGAGGTTGATGCACGTATAAGGAAAGCCAGATCGGCTTATGCCAATCTGGGCCATCTTTGGCGCCTTCGTGATGTTAGTCTGGCTGTAAAAGTTCGGATTTACAACGCGTCGGTGAGAGCAGTTTTGCTCTATGCTTGTGAAACCTGGCCTCTCCGAGTTGAGGATGTTAGACGTCTCTCTGTGTTCGATCATCGTTGTCTCCGAAGGATTTCTGACATCCAGTGGCAACACCATGTTAGTAATGCAGAGGTTCGGCATCGTGTGTTCGGGCACAGAGACGATAATTCAATTGGTGTCACCATCTTGAAACACCGACTTCGGTGGCTTGGACATGTTTTACGAATGTCGTCCCAGAGAATTCCACGTCGTGCATTATTTGCCGACCCTGGGACTGGTTGGAAAAAGCGGAGAGGAGGTCAGTGTATGACATGGTGTCGTGGTATGAAAGAGAGCTGCAAAGGGCTAGCTTCTGTTGGTCCTTCACGACTCCTTGGTTGGGGTCCGAGAGATGGTGCAACACAGTGGCTAGAGACGTTATCAGATATAGCTCAGAATAGAAACCAGTGGCGACCCTGCTGCAACCTTCTTTTACTTTCTACATAAAGTATGGTTCTTACTTTCCTATTTGAAAGAGTCTTCTGGTTGTACATTTTAGTCCGCCTTATCTTTTCATCCCTTCTCTTCCTACTTTCATTATTTTGTGTGGCGCATATGTACCTGGTGCCCTTTTGTACCAATATATATGTGTTTAAATAAATAAATAATAAATAATTGTTTAGATATCTTTGACTAGTGGTACATGCACAATTATTGATAATTATTTGTTCTACCCCTATAAAGCTGAATTGTTTTTTCTGAACTTCCACAGTTTATGCTGACCACTTCTTATGATGTAGTATTAATATTTTTTGTAGTTCGAGGTAGTCACTGGGATGGAGGTATTACACATAACAACGACTCTCGAATTTCGCTTACAATGTAGCAATCATTGTATTCATGTACTGAACTACTGTTCTTTAAATGGTTATCACGTGTGCAGGTCGTTACACTAAGTTTGCTTTATTTGTTTTCTTACGATATGGCTTATGAACTCACTGGTGCAAGTTACATTCGATCATTAGCTACGTGCTTTTTGGTTTTCACCGATTTTAATGACTATTTGAGTTTCGACTGATTTCGGAATTGTCGCCTTTCGGGCTTTGATCCTTTGGTCATGCTATCCAGGTTTTTAATCCATTGCGGTTTAGTTATGTTTGTTGAGTTTTACTTACATCCACATTCAAAATGAGTGTTTTCAGGAAATAAGCAGCGTAGATATTGCACTTACATGCTATTTTTCTGTTACGATATCATTCTCATTTAATAATTTTGAAATAAACATACTTTTGTTATTACGATATTCTTTTCTAGCTGTTCGATATAATCGCTTGTTTACGCAATGGTATCAATCGGCTTCGTTATCTAGTTCAGGAGCAAAATAAAGTAGCACAATGCGTTTCTGGAGCTACTGCTTCTCGCACTGTAGCACAAGCTATTGCTACTGCAGCACAAGCTCGTGCAGGAGCGGGTGTTCTTGCTGGTCGCCTTGCTCGATTGTTTCATCGCAACGATTCACTATCCCCGGACGGAATACCTGTATGGATGTTGTTACTCAGTACGAAATATGAAGAGGAAGAGGATGAATCGATGATAATAGACCTACCTAAAATCGAGGAATCTAATCCCAAAGAAAAGGTTGTGGGAGCGGAAAGTAATAATAACCTCACTGAGAAATCAGATGAAGCTGCCAAATCTCCTAGGGCTACGAAAGTCGATGAAGAGAATATTATAGATAAAGCAAAAGAAGTCAATACTGTAACTAGCGACCGTGAATCTGATTCGGATATTGAAGCTGCCTCGTCTGATAACGATGTGACAATGGATGAAGAAACGGATGAAGAAAGCTCCGAGAAGCCAGTAATGGATGCAACAACGACATCCAGCAAAGATGAGCACACAAATGAGGATGGTTTAGATGAATCTGGCTCTCCTCCCATTCTAGTTGTTCCTTGTTCACAAAAAAAGAAGAAACATCACAAGCGTAGGCACAGGGAAAGCAAAAAGTCGAAGCGAAAGCATAGTTCTAGCAAAAAAGCGAAAGTGGAAGATGAGAGTTCTGAAAAAGAGGATAAGGACGAAGAAAATGATGCGGACGTATCGGGGGATGAAGCAAAGCCAGCTCCTGAGGTTGACCAAACAGCTGAAGAAGAGGAACGTATACGTATACTTCTTAACAGACGACACAAAGTAATTGAGATTCACGCTCCTTCGCCATCGGAGCTTACGGACGAGGATCGTGTCGTTATTTCTTGTGAAGAAGCAGCCATCAAAGTTCTTAAAGAAGCCATTGATTATGACCCAGTAAGTCTTGTCACTCGCACTGTAGTTTATAACTTTGCCGTTTGTCATAACGTTTAGAAGTTGCAAAATATATACAATAGGATTCTTTCATATGGTCTCAGTAATATCAGTAGTAGAATTATTTTCAGTGGATGTCTTTATTTTTCTCCCCAAAGTATGTTTCTATCTCATTTCAAAGACCACTTTATTTATAAAAGGAGATCTCGGTCTGTGGTAGTAGTGAATTCGACCGATTTATTCTTAAATCCTTAAGTCGCAGAGTAGTTCGTTTACTTAATTACCACACATTGCATGAATTAACCGCGTTTCTGTCCTTGGGTAAGCTATTGTAAACTAATATTCGATACTGATATCAATATGATGTCTTAAATTAGGTTGAGTAGCTGTCTCTGTTCTTTTTATAATAACGTCAGTCAAGGGCCGATTTATTGATTAAAGTACTCAAATTTCAACCGCCGGTCTGAAACCTTTCCCATCTACTTAGGTTTAAATAGCTAGGTAGTATCAGTAACTATCATATATTGTAAATTGAAGGGGATTATGTGAACATGTACCTGATTTATTGATTTGCATTTGACTCCGTCGTCTCTTTATTTAACTGGATTTTGGATTGAAGCATCAATCTAATTACCGTAGTTAAGATGAGTACATACTACATTTAATCTTCAGTGTATAGTTCATGAACCTACCTGTAATTACTGCGTTACATCACTATTTGTATTATAAATCAAGATATCGGTGATTTAATTTCTGTTATTACACAATGTTTGTTCTGTATTTTTTTTCTTTTTGATAAAAGCGTAACGAGCGGTTATATGCCCAGTTACTTGATATCATCTATCAACGTAGGCCGGTTGATATTGAAGGGTTTATTGAAGCAGCTAATCTTGCCACAATTGATTCAGTTTTGCCAGCGCATATCAAATTGGCTTTTTGTCAACGTAAACTACAATTTTTGGAAGAATTTGATACTGATTTATCTAGGTAAGCTATACTTAATGTTCTATGCCTTGTTGATTAGCTAAAGACTTCTACCAAACGGAAACCACTGACTTCCATACCACGTCGCGGACGTTTAGTGTGGCCCCTTATCTGACTCCAATTAGATCATTTGATGATTGTTATTGAAGCATAAATCCCAACTACCCTCGTATATTTTATCGACTTAACCCGCATTAGTGAATAACCCCCAAGTGCCCTGGTACGGCCGAGAGAGTGAGGAGGGTCAGCTCTGCCTCTCGAAAAGCTCTCAAATGACCAAGTGTATACAACCTCTGCCAGGGAAGACCTACTCACTACTTTCTCGAGGCGGGGGTGTTTACGAATTTGAGAGGACGAAAAGCGGATTGATGGATACGGAGGATCCACCTAGGGGAGTTGAAAAACCTTGATTCCAAACCAATGGTGTACATGGGATCCAGGACCCTAAGGAAACCTATTGAACCTAATGTTGGTGACCGGTTACTATGGGACTGCATCTTCTGACGTTGCTCCACTGCTTTGTGGATTAGACCTCTAGGTCAAAGGCTCAGGGTGTGACCCCCAGGCAGTATCCCAGCCCTCACATAAATCGGATAATTTATGTGGCGCATATATATTTGGTGCCTTCCTGTACCAACATTTATGTGTTTAAATAAATAAATAAACGTTGGTGAATAACGGAATCATATAAGCCGAACACCAGTATACAATCGTTGATCCAGACAGACGATCAGAGAAACGAAAAGAAGAGATTGAAGGGCAGAGTGCGGAGCGAAGCGAAACGAAACGGAATGGGACGTAGTGGAGAAGACGAGTGAGTAAGCTCCGTTTAGTCAAGCGTTACTCAATATTAATGGTCTAAACAAAAATAAGCTAGGCTTGTGATGAGTAGTATGAGCAGTGCGCTCAAATAAAAATTGGCAAGGTTGATAAGCGAATAATTAAGGTCAAAATGTGACTCAAGAAAAATGAAGCTAGAAGCTAGAATAACCCATGTGGGCTCGATGTGGAACTAGACACTACAAACTAACTTGATAATCCAAATAAATAAGTGCCAATTTATCTAACTGAAAGCACTTAATAACACCAGTTCATATATTTTTAGCGAAACTTCAGTAACATCATGGTGCTTTTCTTAAACAAACCCAAAAGTCTGACTCACGCTTTCTACCTACTAAGAATGGTATACTGTTTTGGATGCAATAATAAAAGCGAGTACAATAATCACAACTTCTGGTTTTTGCAGAGCTATTCACATTAACATCATATTTCTGATTCATAGTATTTTATTACAGAAATTACATATTACTTACTTACTTACGCCTGTTACTCCCAATGGAGCATAGGCCGCCGACCAGCTTTCCCCAACCCATATACATATCCAGTTCTGCAATTCGTAGTTGGATTGTTTTCATTTCGCAATCAAAAAACGAACTGGTCCTTCGGTTATGATTGAGCTTTTACTCACTTTTTTGAGTGTTTGCTTTAAAATGTTTCGATTTATGTTTAAATCCAGGTTAAATGCTACATATGAAGAATACATGAGTCTTTGTGATGCAATCAATACTGGTGTAACCACATCAGCTATTGCTCGTGGAGCTAGCAGACTTATAAGTGGTTACCAGTTGCCAGATCTTTTAAATTTGCCAACAACTTCTCTCAGAGTTAGTTCGGTGATTGGAGCGAATCCCTGTGAAATGGTAATTTCAGCTGCACCAGTTGGTCGTACACCTTGTTTAAATACCGACCAGTCAGCTTTGGAGGCTGCTGCTTCAGTGGGAACACCAGCACCAGATCCATCCACAGCCGCTGGTTATTACACTGCTGGAGGATATGAACCATTGGCTGCCGCTCTTGGCAATACATCTGGGCTTCCACCTCCTGTCCCGACAGGTATACCCGTTATGACACCGTCAGTTGCAATTCTTCCCGGTGTGGTAAGTTAAAAGTATATTTATTTTGAGTCTACTTTTACCGCCATCAATCTCCTATTTCATTGCCGATCTTTATTTTTTAAGTTCTTGATTTGTTTCATCTCTATTTGTATTTTAATTTTAATTAGTAACATTTGTTGTAACTGTTTAGTACGTTCCGAATCATCGTTCATGTTTTGTGTTGTTTCTTAAAAATCGTTTTCTGGTAGTCAACTTTTTCAACAAATGATTTATTTTTGGCATAGACAACTGATTGTGTTCTTATTTCCATTTTAGTCGGATACATCGACTTCAGGTGCGGCTGGTTTGACAGCCGATGCATATGCCACTTATTACTACACTGCAACAACTGGTGCTTCGTCTGTCCTCGCACCAGTCATTGTTCCAGCAGCAGTAGATGTCAATTTGTCCGCATCATCAGGAGTTACCTCGTCGATAGTAACTTCCGTAACCACATCTCTGTCATCAACGATATCCGCTGGACAATAATTTCATAACATTGTACCGCATTCGATGTTTTTTCTAACGGTTTTTGATGCTTCCCACCCTGTGTTTATTACATATTTTTACAAAATCATTTTGTTGTGGTTTGCTAAATATATATGTATCTATAAGATGATTTACATTCGTTGCTCATTTTATGTGTTACTCTCTGTATCGTTTTGTGGGAACTGTATTTACATTCACCTAATCCCGGGAGTTTTCGATTAGATGATGTGGTACATGGATTTACGATCATTTTTGTGTATTGTGTGATTAACTTTTATGATCTGCTAAAGTATTTCTGGATTATGTCTATTCATAAAAGATTTTTCATTTCGTTTAGGTTCTATTTAAGTCTTAAAAAAAGTATGTGAACTTCGTCTGACATAATTAAGAAGGATTTTTCTCCAGATTGCTGTAACCTAGTATCAGCAAAGTTGACTATTTACCAAGTGTGCCTTCTTTCATCGTCATCAATCACTCACCTCTCCGTTAAGTGATATTAACACTACCATATTAGAAATAACATTTTAGTCCCGTTTTAGAACTGATCTTATTGATCAGAATTTATTTTACATTCCTCGTTGTTAACTGAATCTGCTTTTCAGATCTTTGAATTTTCTAAAATTCAACTTTATTTCAATTGGGAGTAAAGTTACACGAACCAAAACCTAGGACTTTTAGCTACTCTGGTAAGAGTGTTGTTTATTTTATTGTGTTCAAGAATTCAATGGTATTTTTCTCTTTTCTGTGTAAGGACAATGATCAGCTTGTTAAATAACTCATTTCTGACTTGACATTTTCCGAGAATGGTATTTGTCTTGGTTGATTCGTAATAGTATATTAGATATTATCGACGATAATCATCTATCAGATTCATCTAATAATCTTGTGCCTCTGGTCCTGTTCTCGTAATATTAATTAGAGAATCTGCAGAGCCTTTATTCATGCATATTGCGCTTTGACGTTTAACAAACACAGTTTTGTGACCTGAAATCTTAATTCTTTTGTTTTGTTATTTTTTAAAACATTTACATAGAATTAATAACAACAATAAAAATATAGAGTGATGTTCAGTTATGCCTTTGATTATTTACGAGGTAAAATACTAAATGTTGAGTTTTTCACCATACACTTTTTCATTGTCAGGTTGGAGGCTGTATAAGAAATTATATGGTTATCACTTAGTGCAAATATGCTTTGGCTAAGATGTTTGTAAATAAGGAATAAAGTACGTATGATGGCATGCATTACGCAACGTTGTAGCAATTCATATCGATCAAATGATTAGTAGATTTATAACGATCAGGTTTTTTTTATTTTATTTAAACACATAAATATTGGTACGAAAAGCACCAGATAAATATGCGCCTCACAAATCTCATTTGATTTGTGTGAGGGCTGAGATACTGCCCAGGTGCCCAGACTAAATCAAGTGGTTTTCTTAGGGGGCCACACCCCGAGCCTTTGACCTAAAGGTTTGATTCACAAGGCAGTGGAGCATCGTGAGGAGATGCAGTCCCATGGTAGCCGGTGACCGACAATATGTTCATACGCCATTCGTTCCATCAGGATCCTGGAGCCCATGTGCGCCATTGGTTTGGAATCAGGGTTTTCCAACTCCCCTAGGTGGACTCACCGTGTCCACCAACCCGGTTAAAGCACCAGACATTCGCTTTCCGTTATCTTAATTTCGTAAACAACAGTAGTGCCACGAGAAGTCATTGGGTAGGACTTCTTTTGCAGAGGCTATATATCCGCGTGGCCATGTGAGAGCATTTCGAGAGGGAGAGCGGACTCTTCCCACTCTCGGCCGTCCTAGGGCACTGATGTTAAAGTAAATTCTGTTTTGTTTGCTCGACGGGAGATAACCTGTCTAAAACAGGTTCTAAGATCGTATTTCAGTGGTATTTGTTGACGTACTTTACAACTATCTACTCAACACCAGGTACACAAGGATTCTTTTGAGACAGTAACAAAATGAGTGACTTGGCAACATATGAAGTGTACGCTTTGCTATAAATAGCTATGTATGCATTTGGATCACACATTTGAACGCTTTTATAAACGTATTTGTCCATTCTAACGGCGTAATAAAATTCATGTTTCTACCTGGATTCTGTTTATGAGAGACGGATTGGAATACTTCTTACTGCAAGAAAAAACATTATTCCCAAACGTCAGTTTGACTGGAAATTAATTGCTGATACTTTATCCAAGATATAATTATATCCGAATATCTGACTTCCAGGTGTTTTTAAGTTAGAATGTAACTGAATATGACTTAAACTGTGTTGTGATTCCTAGTATGTTTGGTAGTTCTTCTAATCTATATACATTTTGGAGTATAGAATATTCTAATCAGTAGTATTTAAATTTTTCTGCTATTCAGTCACTTATAAATTATTAATAACCACATGAACGAAGATTGATACAGAATAATAGGAATTCATTTTATTTTGTACCAATCCTCGTTCTTGCTCTCTTTAAGATAATAAAGGGAAATATGTGTATGAAATAACCAAACGAGCAATTCCATTCTCAACTATTTACTACTAACGTTACTGTATGGGCGTGAACAGTGAGGTGCACCAGTTTTAGAGTGTTTTATCTTCTAGCTTTTTTGGCACTAAAATATTGTTCATTAAATATTCCATTCTATCGTGATCATAATAGTCATTAAAAAGTCACAACATTGTGTTTATGAAATCAAGATTATTTAAATTCCATGATCCTTTAATAAACTATCAATTCATTTTTGTGTGTGGAAAATTATATTCGAAACAGTCCCAGCGATTGAAATTTAAATAATTCCAACGTTTCGTCCAGCTAACTTGTCTGGACTTCTTCAGGGAAATAATCAAAATCATCAAAGAAATATATAGTGTTTTCTAACAATCATATCAATTCATTATGTTTCAGGCATGCAGTATTTTGTCATTTGTTTGATAGTGGACTAGACGTTGATGTTTCAAAATAGTAAACAAACGACTTTAAATTTAATAAGTCTTGGTGAAGCTGTTGCTATAGAAAATATTTAAGCTAAATCTAGACTTTCAGAAAGACAATTGCCAGTTTTAGTTTGTCTTGCTGACTTTAGTTTAAAATAATGGTTACATGACAGAGGATTTTTCTAAACTCCTAGCTATACTGTCCCCTACGAATTGCCTCACACAAATTAATATTTGTCTATTTTTAGGTCTTACGAGTTCTATCACTTTTGTTTTGATGAGGTTTTATTGTTAATTACTCAAAGATGAACTTTCTGCGTTGGAATGGGAATTAAATTTATTGCACACTATAAAATGTCTACTTAAAAAGTCATATAAGTAGTGTGACTTTACGAATTTAATTTTCATAGGCTTCCTATCTTTGAAAATCACTAATCTTCCACTTGATTTATAAATCTTGAAATGAAATAAAGTAGTAGTTGATATATATCTGATTTGTAATATCACTGACTCAGTTTGCTCACCATGTGTTCTTACTTCCACTACAATTTTTTGCTCTCGAACTTATTTCAGGTGACCACAGTCTCATAATACACGTTTTCTACGTTAAACAGTGTGGGAAAGCTGAAAACGAATGTGGATTTTTGTTTTCCTGATAAGTGGATGGTTTATAAATCTTAACTTTACCATCAGAAATTATGCAGCTCTTAATATCTACTCCCCTCATTTACTGTCAAAAATTTGAATCAAATGGTCGTAAAAATATGTTATTAGTTAAGTAAATCATATTGTTGAGTATGGGGAAGCGGATGGGGTGTATGTCAATGTGAAGAAAATGGTACAAATAATGGCTTTTCATATGCCGATATTTCTATTTACATCGTCCCTCAATCTTTTGTCAGGAATTCATTAGTTCCTCTAATTGATAAGAAAGGTAATATGATTTACTAATGTTATTGAATTCTGTCAGAAAGTTTGCTTTGTGAGCAAGATTTATAATTGTTCAAGTTGAATAAATAGAATCTCAATCGTTAAATGAAATACGATAATACAATCCAGCCGGACGACTACTACTCATGAGAATAAGTTATTGACTTAAGTTCTTAAGTGAAGGGATATCAGAAGATAAGTCAAGTACCCAGTAGAATAGGTTGTCGTACTGTTGTTTACAGCAAAAGCAAACATGAGTAGAAGCTAGCTAACAAATGAATAATCTGTGGATATGGCAAAGATAGCTTATTCACTTTCTAACTGAATCAATATTTAACTATTAGGCTTAATTTCTCCACTACACAAGTTGATAATATTTTTCCAGTCACAAATCAGATCTGGTCTTCTGATACTTCTGTGAATCGTTAGGACGCTAAAAATTAATTCCAAGAAGCCACTGATGCGTTGTTCATTCGTGTTGTTCCATTAAGTCCATTAATTATTATCATATTAATTCGCTCAGTCATGTTCAATGTATATTCTGGAAATAAGCGTAATATACATTTGTCACACGAAGTTGTCAATCCACTTGTTTTCTCTCTTCTGGAGCACAGTGGAATATATTATCCTTAAATGTCGACGTAAAGGTGAGGATTAGCAAAGTAAGGACTGCATTCCTACAATCGAAACTCAACCAATATCAAATTCACAATCTTTAATACGAACGTTCAGACAGTCCTACTGTACGGAGCTGAAACTTGGACAAGTACAATCATCATCAAAAAAGTACAAGTATTTGTAAACAGTTTTCTACCATCAAAATACTCAATATCTGTTGATCGAATACCATCAGCAACAGCTTACTGTGAGAGATGACAAGGCAGCTTCCACCTGAAGAGGAAGTTATGAAAAGACAGTGGAAATGGATAGGATACACATCGAGGACCAGGCATGCCCTAACTTGGAATGGTGAAGGGAAGCGGAAAAGAGGAAGGCCAAACAACACACTAAACCAAGAATTGGAAGCAAACATGAAAAAGATTCCCCATGACAGTACAGGGTTGGATGGAGAGTGCTGGTGGGTGGCCTATGTTCCCCCACGTGGGGTAACGGGTGTATGTAAATAAGTGGTGAATGGACAGTAGTGGTTGACATAATGCAACGCCAAAGAAGTGTAGGTTCATTTTGCTAGTTTAAATGCCATCTAACTTGACTTACATTAAACATTATATTGAATTAGTATTGTATAATTCTATTCTT